CGGGGCGGGAGGAGGCCCGTGCCCAGCCAGAGCAGCTCCCAGCCCCGCTCCTCACTGTACCTGCGGAGGGAGCCGCCCGCAGGAGTCACACGCCGCTCCGCCCCAGCAGCCCGCGCCCCCCAAGGTCCTGCCCGAGGACCGCCCCAGGCCCCTCCCTGACGGCCGGGTCCAGCCATGCTACTCAAAGCGGGCCTGGCCAACCCATGCCAGGCAGAGCCTGGAACCGTCCCACGGGGCAATGAGGTGCTCGAGCGAGCACTGAGAGCTACCATGTTTCCAAGCACTCTGGCCTGGCTGATGTGTTTTGCTTTGCATAGCGAGATCTTCTCCATGAAGGAACAGTGTGTGTGCTCTATATTCTAACGCGTCTATACCTTGAGTAGCAGTTAGTTAGACCAGGCCCCACCCAGGCTCCCTCGGGTACAACTCTGAGCTCCTTAAGCCTGACAGAGGGGAGTTTGGAGGGCTTTCTGGAGGAGGTGGGATTTGATCTAGGCTCTGAATGATGATCTGCAAATTATCTGCAGAGAAAGGGATGAAAGGGTTTCCTGGCTGCAGGCACTGCATGTACAAAGGTTCGGCAGTGTGACAAGATCTGGTGTGTAGTTCAAGGGTGGACTTGAGAGCTGTAGGGTTGGGGGCTGGGTGTAAAGAGAAGGGTGGAGCTTCTCCCAGGCTCTTCCTCTGGTGAGGAAGGACAGACTGGGCCAGGCAGACCCAACTCAGGTGCCAGTGAGTGCCCTGCCACAGCAGGGGGCTTCCCCCCACGCGCCGGCCACACCTGCTGGCCCACCTGATGTGGTTGTCGGTCAGCTGCTTCAGGATCTGCACGTACGCTTCGTCCTTGAGGGGCTCGGCCTTCAGGGCCCCCTCGAAGATCTGGTCGGTGAGCTCATTGACAGAGCGCGTCCTCTTGGATGGGTAGTCGCCCATGTACTTAAGCACGGGTGGGGGTGTCAAGGAAGAGCCCGGACCACATGGGGGGAGCACTGGCCTGGGAGGCCAAGGCACACTCGCCGTCGGGGGGACCTCTCCCACAGGCCTTGGGCTGCTCACCCCAGAAATGGGCCTGATCTGCCCGCCTGGCTCCTGGCCTCCACCCTCCCTCGCCTCCTCACAGGCCGCCCTGCCTCAGACCTCAGCCTCACATCCCTCACCCCCACAGCAGCCAGGATGGCAGGTCAGCAGTCTGACCAGGCCACCCTGCCCAGTGGCACACCCTGCCTTGGGATGCAGCCCAGGCTTCTCAACAGGGCTTGGGAACCCTTAGGCAGCCCCATGTCCTAGCTCCCTATGCCCTTGGCCCTCAGTGGCTGAAACGTGCGGTGCCTCCCAGCAGCTCTCTCTGCTCTGCCTCAGGGCCTTTGCATGTACCACTTTCCCTCCCTAGAACTCCTCGCGCCTCTCCCCTTTGCCTGGCTAAGACCTATTCGGTCTTTGGGTCTCAGCTAGACAGCACCTTCTCCAGGAAACCCTCCCTGCCTGCTCCAGGCCGGGTCAGGTCTCATCACAGCACTGATGTAGATGTCACCCCATGAGACCAGGGGCTGGGGCTGGTCACCACTCTACCCCCAAGCCTGCTGGCACATCACCAGGCACAGCACACATGTGCCAACACAGTGATAGGGCAGGAGAGTGACCAGGCAGCCCCTCGCACACCGGAGGTGCCAGGCACGTGGAGGGGTCCTCCGTCAACACCTGAGCAGGAGGGGTGTGGGAGGCGAGCCCACCCGCCCGGCCCCTCCCGCTGCCCGGGCGGATATCGATGAAGGCCATGCAGGCCTCCTGCGACAGCTCCTCGCTGCCCAGGATCTTCTTCAGCAGCGCCTGCTTGAGCGGCTCCCGCGTGTGGCTCCACAGCCGGTCCTTGCCTCGCGCCTTGGACACCATGACACGGCTCAGCGTGTGCTTGGGCGGGGGTCTGCCACGGCACGGGACAGTCGGCACTGACCCACGCACCCCTGGGCCCGGAGCCTGGGAACAGGCCGCCCCTTCCCCGCCCTGCGTGGCCCGGGGTGAGCCGCCACGGAGATAACACTGCTGGCTGGGCCCACCCTCCTCCTCCACCCCAGGGCACCCACAGAGCTCGGGGCAGCCACCTCCTCCAGGAAGCCTCCCCTCGTCCCCCCCCAAAGCATCCTCGTCACAACACTGGGCACCCAGAATCGCAGCTGCCTGCTTTCCTGCCCATCCCCCCACCAGGACCGTGAGTCACGAATGACCAGGACCTGCCTGGAGGGCCGCGGCGACCGTCTCTTAAATGCAGGGAGGATAAGATTGGCAGCACAGGACGTCTGCTGTCTCGGCAGACGGAAGCTGCCCTCCCGCTCCCCCTGGCCAGGCCTTCCCACAGGGCAGGCCTCGCGAAGCCACCCTGGCACCCAGAGCGCAGCAGAAGCCGGCAGCCACCTGAAGTAGTCGTAGGAGAACTCCTCCAGCGTGTAGGGCTTGGCGCGCACCTCGGGCTCGGGCGTCCGCAGCTGCAGGAGCCGGATGACATCCTGCCTCTGGTCCGGGGTCATGGTGACCAGGGCCTGGGGGCCAAGAGATGGCGGGCGAGATCAGCTCCCCACCTGGAGGCGCTGGGAGCAGCTTGGAACCTTGTGGACTGGGGTTGGGGGAGACTCTCCCCGGGGGGTGGACCCCAGGCCCCATTCTGACCCTGGGAGCCTCTTCCCTCTCTGAAGTCACTGCTGCCTCCACCAAGCTGGCCTCAGGACCCTTCCCTTGGTGTCTGAGTCAGGTTGGGTCAGTCAGAAAGGCTGACACAGCAGGGGGACATGGTGTGAGAACTGCCTGGCTCTGGGCCTGGCTCAGGAGCTGCCAGGGGGCTCTGGAAGAACCAAGGCCCCCTTGTGCCCTCACTGCCCTTTTAGACAGTGCAGGTGACACCCTCTCCTGAGACCACGCTTCCCCTCCCCAGCCCTGGGCAGTTCATCGGATGCAGTTTCTAGGCCTACCTGGCACAGATTTAATAGCTACCCCAACTTAATAAGTTCGTGGTCCCACAAGTCCCCAAGATATTCTTTACAAAAGCTACTGACCATGAATCCATCATATGGATATGGGAAGTGGACAAAGAGGGTCCCAGGGGAGCCTCCCACCGTCCGCCACGCCCGGGCCACATACCACAATTTCCCGCGGTGGCATGGTGACAGTCGGCATGACATACACACAGTCGGTGGGGAAGTCCCCACGCTGCTTGGTCCTCTCATTGATGCCGTTGGCCCAGCCTGAGTTCATGACCTGCTCGCCCGTGTCGTGGTCCAGGATGATGAGGTCGCCTTTGGCAAAGCTGAGGAAGCCCGACTCTTCTCCCGCTGTGGGGCACAGGGGAGTGAGGCCAGGTGGGGGCAGAAAGAGAGGCTGGTCGGCACGTCTTTGCTGGGGGGTTGGTCTGTGAGCCGCTACTCGCCGCTGAAGAACCGAGGCCTTGTGGCGCATGTCTTCCCTGCCACTCTGCCTCCGCCTTGTCACCACCCTCCACGCACACGGCCACCACAGTGGGCCAGCCCCCTGCTCAGAAACCTTCTGTGTGCCAGGGGAGGGAGGGGCACACCTCACCAGCAAGGGAACCTGCATAATGAACATTTGTGTCCCCAGCCCTTCAGAGAGAGCCTACTCCTGAGTCTGCAGTGAGCCGGCCTCTCTGACTCTCTCCCCTCCCTTCTCACTCCTTGTCCTCGCCTCATCCAACCAAGCCAGCCCAGGCAGTACCCGGCTGTGCCAGCCTCCTCTGCGTCCACACGGGGCTCCTGCTGGCTCCCTGCCTCTTGCCCTCTGCCCACGCGGACTTCCTACCGGGCCCCAGGCTGCATGGGGCCTCTCCTCGGCCCTGCCCATCCCCTGGGCCTCCTGGTCATTTCACTTCACTGTCTCTGTCTGCCCCCTCAACACGGAGGGCAGAGTGGAGACTTCGTCTGTCTGTCCACACTCTGCCTGGGACCTCAGGGGCCTCGGTGGCCGCAGACAGGGCAGGTGTTACAACTGTGGTCATTCGTAGAGGCTGGGGATTTGGAGAACACCAAGGAGGACCCCGAGCTATCTTGGAGAAGGTGACAGGAGTATTGAAGTATTGAAGACCAGCGGGAGGGAGGAAAGGAGGGAGAGGGGGTTCCCACAGGGCACCGGTCGAAGGCACAGGGTCCTGCTTGGCCTTGGATGCCAGGCCGAGGCCATGGGCACAGTCTATGATTTGGATATTTGTCCTCCCCAAATCTCATGTTGAAATGTGACCCCGGTGTCGGAGGCGGGGCCTGGTGGGAGGGGCCTGGGCCATGGGGGCGGATCCCTCAGGAAAGGCTTGCTGCCTCCTCATGGTAATGAGCAGGTTCTCATTCTGTTAGTTCCTGTGGAAGCTGACAGAGAGAGCCTGGCATCTCACTCCTCTTGGCCCTCTTCCCTCTCCATGTGACGCCAGCCCCCCTTCCTTCTGCCATGAGCGGAAGCTTTCTGTGGTCGCGTCAGGAGCACACGAGGGTGCCATGCCTCCCATACAGCCTGAGAACCACGAGCCAGGTAACCCTCTTCTCTAAGGCACCAGCCTCAGGCGTTCCTTCACAGCAACGCAGACCGACTAGGCCAGCTCACCTAACGCCCGCCCCCAGTGCCCAGCAGCCCACACTGGCTGCCACTCACCAGGGTTAGGGTTGTCCTGCAGGGCCACGACATACTTAGACCTCTTCCGGAGCCCCTCCAGGAAGGTGACCACCAGGTCACGGATGTCCTCGGCGTTGCTGGAGGTGAAGGTATACTCGTCCCCCTTGATGGTGGCCAGAGTGAAGCTGGGGGCCGTCATTTTCGCTCCCCTGCAGGACCAACACGGAGAACAGGGCCCCGCCGGGGTCAGTCCTGCCCGGCCCGAGTGAGGTGCAGCACAGCCCGGATCAGAGCAGCCCAGCGAGAGCCAGACACGGCACTCCCTAAAGGAGACCAAGGCCAGTCGAATCAGATGCAGCCCAGCCAGAATGGAACCTGGGCCAGTCAGGTGAGATGTGGCCCAGGTCAGACGCGTCTCAGTCTAAGACATCCAATTACTACTCACCCTTAAATCTCAGCCGAGATGCCACTTACTCCAGGAAGTCCTCCCTGCCCTCCCACATTCCTCATTATACTGGTCTCGGCTTTAAAATAACCCGTCTGAGCCGGGCTTGGTGGCTCAGTCTGTAACCCTGTGCCATTGGGAGGCTGAGGTGAGTGGATTGCCTGAGCCCGTGGGTTCGAGACCCATCTGGGCAACTTGGCGAGACCTCATCTCTACAATTAAAAAAAAAAAAAATCAGCCAGGCGTGGTAGTGTGCGCCTGTAGTTCCAGCTACTTGGAAGGCTGAGGCGGAAGGATCTCCGGAGCCCAGCAGGTCGAGGCTGCGGTGGCTGGGAGTGGCCACTGCACTCCAGCCTGGGCGACAGAGTGAGACTCCAACTCAAAAAAATAAATAAATAACCCATCTGATGTCTGTCTCCCCTCTCAACTGAAGCTCCAAAAAGACAAGGACTGGCTTATCACCACTTTATTCCAGGTGCCTGGCAGGCGCCCGGTCAGAGCTGGACACGGCCTGACCCCTGCCCACATCAGATGCAGCCCGAGACACTCCTCCATGCCCCAGACCGCGAGAAGAGCCACTGCGTGGCTGGGAAAGCCAGTGCATTCCAGCAAAGCACCCGCTTCCCACCTGCGTGCAGTTTAGAGAGCTCGCTGTGAATGAACGAAGTATTGCATTCATTCCTCACCACCATTACAAAGGAAAGTACGAAGACCCCTATCTTAGGCATGAGGACATAGCATCCCACCCCAGCCCCTGAGTCTCAGGCAAGCCCTCTGTGTACCCACTCGCCTGCCCCTGCCTGTCCTTCTGGCGGCCCAGCCTGTCTCAGAACGAGCATGAGTATGTGTAAAGCCCAACCCCATCCTCCCTTTGGTGAGGAGGGGGCGCCGAGGGGCTGCACACGCAGGACAGACTGCTCGACTGTGCGCGACCAGGACTGCCGCCGTGCCTCTCTTCCCCCCCGTGACCTGTGGAGCCGCTCTGGCCCCTCTCCTTCCCCAGCCTGTCCGGCCCTGTCTGGCCCAGCTCACCTGCTGCTGGACACAGCCATGATCTCCGGGAAGGACAGCTCCAGCAGCACCTGCTCCTGCTCATCCACAAAGTACACACCCGTCCAGTTGACAGCCACGATGACATCGTTCTTGGGGAGGCTGGGGCCTGGGGCGGAGATCGAGGCCCTGAGAGGGAGGCCCCCGCTCCTGGCCCAGGCCTCCCCGTCCTTATACCCATCAGGCAGATGGCAGGGGCGGGAACACACTGATTTCCATTTTAGGGAAACTGAGGCTCAGAGAGTGGAACCTCCCTGCAAGCCCAAACCCAAGGTGCCGTGGGAAGAGAGCGTTGAATCAGGGAGCTGGGTTTGGGTCCCTTCCCTGCACTGGTCTTGGTGCAGCATCGGACAAGTCCTTGTCCTACCCTGAGGTGGGACACAGGCAGGGGTAGGATTGGGTCCCAGGTGGGACATGGGGGGGAGGGGTGGGGCTGAGTCCCAGGGGACCCATCGAGGCGGGTGGGACTGGGTCCCAGGCTTCCCTCTGGCCATGATATTTGGTGGTTCTGTGAAGCCCAGCATCAGCCTGGCGTGGAGCAGATGCCCCGCAATGGTGGGCTGAGGACGCTGAGCAAATGGCTCGTGTGGGTTTGCGTTAGCCACGCTCACTCTCAAGTTCATGGAGTCAGCCCAGCAGGGCCTGCCCTGCCTGTACTCTGGGCCACCCTCTTCTGTACACAGTACAGAAGATGCCTATCTTCACTCAGCTATCTTCACTCAGCTATTTAATCTAGTGTGCTGCTGAGCATCTACCATGTACCACGGGTCACTGCAGGACTGCAGGGAGGCAGGGCCCACTCACCAACAGGACCAGAAAAGACACAGCAGCCTCCCAGCAGGAGGTTCACTATCTGGGGAGCCCGGCTCAAGATGCTGCCCCTCCTTCTGCCATGGGCTGGGGCCATAGAGCTGGGGCTGGGACCAGCAGGCCGGGGGTACCTGAGAATTTGTAGGCTTCATAAAACCTGGAGAAGAGCAAGGGCCACTTGAAGCGGGCATAGTTGACCACGTCCTCTTTGACCTTCTGGGCATCAGTTCTCCTCTGGGCATAAATCCCCTAGAGGGCAGATGACAAAAGACAATATACAAGCTCTGTCCAAAGGTCAACGTCACTGCCTGCTAGCCAGGGGTGGCCTGGGGCTCCCCCACCCTCCTGGGCATCATGGCCTTGCCCTGTTCCCAGCAACCCACAGCCACGCCCGTCACCCCATCTTTCTCTTATTCGTTGACATCAGTGAGCACTTGTGAGTGCCACCTCCAGGCGGGTCATGGGACACAAAGTCAGAGAAAACATGGCGGCCCACCCCCCCCACCGGGGAGATCCCTGTTCAACAAGACAGGAGAGCCAAGAACTGCAGCCGAGCCTGTGGGAGGCCTAGGGATCTGGGTCAGTGGGAGGGGCGTGCTGGACAGGCCAGGAAGAGAGGGAATGGGGACAAGGCATGGAGGAGCCAGCTCCCAGGAATGTGGGAGAAACCGCAGCTTCGGGGAACCGACCTGGTGGGTCTGGGAGTTAAAAAGATTGTTTATGTGGGAGCCATGAGGTTGCTGCAAGCCCCACCTGCATTCTGTTTCTCTGAAAATATTCCCCCAAGCCCTAGTAAGAGGTGTTGGGTGGCATTGGCAGGGTCAGAATGAGCTCATGGTTTTCACAGCAGATAGACACAGACGTGGGTAAGGGCAGATGTGCCAGTGCTCAAACTGCCCACCTGCACCTCTAGGGGGCCAAGAGGCCATGCCACCCCAGGAGCAGTGAGGGTCCAGGGAGAGGGCTGAGTGTCACCAATCCAATCCCAAATAGCTCGGAAAAAGAGTGACTTATATGTGTGCAGAGAGAAAGGCCACCGTGAGTCTAGGTAAGCTGGGTGCAGCGTTCTAGTGTTTCAAACTGCTAACTTCTCTGTAAGTTTGAAATTATTTCAAAACAAAATGTTTGAAAAATATGTCTCTATTATGGACTGAATGATGTGCTCCCCTTCCCCCAGATTCGTGTGTTGAAGTCCTCACTCCCAGTAACTCAGAATGCAAACCCATTTATAGACAAGGTCTTCAGGGGATAACTAAGTTAAAATGAGGCCTTTTGGGTGGACCCCAATTCAATAAGACTGGTGTCCTTTTAAGAAGATGACATTTGCCGGGCTCGGTGGCTCAGCCTGTAATCCCGCGCCTTTGGGAGGCTGAGGTGAGTGAATTGCCTGAGCCCACGGGTTCAAGACCCACCTGGGCAGCGAGACTTCATCTCTACAATAAATCAAAAAAAAATCAGCCGGGCATGGTAGTGCACGCCTGTAATTCCAGCTACTTGGAAGGCTGAGGTGGAAGGATCGCCGGAGCCCAGCAGGTCGAGGCTGCGGTGGCTGGGAGCGGCCATTGCACTCCAGTCTGGGTGACAGAGTGAGACTCTAACTCAAAAAAAAAAGAAGATGACATTTGGGCACAGACACGCATGTGCATAGAGGAAGGACCACGTCATGACAGATGAGGAAGACGGCCATGTGCAAGCCCAGGAGAGAGATCTAAGAGAAAACCAACCCAGCTGACACCTTGACCTCAGACTTCCCAACTCCAGAACCGTGAGACAAACATTTCTTCCATTTGAACCACCCAGTCTGGGGTATTTCATCATGGCAGCCCTAGCTAATGAGTACCACATGCTTCCACCCTACAAGCAGTATTGATTCACATCTGGTCACCCTGTGATGCACATCTGCCCACCCCGGCCCAGGACTCTGGGACACACACACCAAGGACCTCCAGCACAGTGGAGGGGCACGGCTCCACGGGGGCTCCAAAATGCAGAAACCATGTCTGCCCCACTCATGCTGTGTCTCCAGGGCTTGCTGTGGCACCCAGCGCACAACAAGTGCCAACATAAAACAGGTGCAAGACACGAGTGCCCAACCCAGAATGTGCCATGTGCCACAGCGGCATGAACCCCGGGAGGTCAGGATGTGGTGGGGCGGGGGCTGCCGCTGTCTGGGAGGCGGAGGAACCGGCTTCAGCGACTGAGGGAGAACAGGGGGCTAAGGACAAAGAACCCGTCTCACTTGAGACCGAGGGGCAGCAGGGAGAGCACACTCCTCTTCTGGAGGGGCGGGAGGGAGTGAGGGCCTTGGGGGAAGTCGGGCCTGGGCGCAACAGCTGGTGCAGGGAGCATTCACGGAAAGGTGGAGGCCGGCGGGCGCTAACCAGAGAAGTGGGGGGTCGGGGGAGGCTGGCGAGGGGCTCCTGCGTGAGGGCAGAGGCCTGAGGTGGAGAAGGACAAGAGGCCCCTGGTCTGGGGGCCTCCAACTTACATGCAGAGATGATTCTACTCTTGCACAGCAGGGGCCAAGGCGGGGGCAAGGTCAAGGGTCCCCTTCAGTCACCCCCTTCCCACCTGGAAACCCCTGCTCTGCCTGGCCCCTTAGTTTGGGAGGAAACCGCTCATGGCTGATCACCGATCTGGGGCTCCAAGCAAGGGGTGGAAGAGGCCTGTCCCCAGAGCTTCCCAGGCAGGAAGTTGGACTGGAGTTCTTTTAGGAAAAAGAAGGTGTACTTTCTAGAAGCCCCCTTCAGCGCCCACCACGCCTGAGCGGTGACACCCGGAAGCGCTGCTGCAAGACGAGGAGATGGGACCCACTACCCACTTTCCCTCAGTCCCTCAGGAGGCCACAGGGCTGGGCTGGATCCTCTCTGTGTCCCTGGAACCCAGCCCAGAGAAGATGGCAGGGGACCCGAGGGAGCTGATGTCCGTGGTAGAGAAAGGGCTGCTGGGAGGCACGTCAGAGCACTGTGCCGTCCCCCGTGGCCCTGACAGACAGGGCTGAGGCCTTGACTGCTCGGGCCGTCACCCTCCCTGAGACCCCTCCTACCCACCCACCTTCTTGTGGGCAGCAATGGCCAGCTGGGCCCACTTCTCCAGCGTCTTCAGGGGCGTGATCTCACGGTCCGGGATGTAGGTGGGCACAAGGTTCAGCAGGCGCTCCAGGATCATCTCGGAGCCGTAGTCCACAAAGTACTGCTGGGAGGCCAGCTCAGCCAGGTCATCCTCCTGGGTGGGAGGAGACCCCAGTCAAGCATGGGCCCAGGCCCCTCCCCTGGCCCTGCCTCAGTGGCTCTCAGACCCTGGCCTCTGGGACCCTGCCTTCTCACTGATTCACCAGAGAATTCTTGTCTACTCAAGAATGTGGAGCCATGAGCTCCCCAAGGGCAGGGCACCCTCACCTTCTCCTGGGTCCTCTCAACACCAGCACAGAGCTGGTCTCTGCCCAGGGGCACACAAGCTGACCCAAAGAGACCAGCCGGTCCATCGAGCCACCCACTGAACACTCAACTCCATGAGACAGTGACTAGAACCAACAAACAAGAGAAAAGGAAGTGCCTACCTGGAGCACAGGAGTCTGGGGCCACCTGAGGGGGTCAGAGCGAGGGGCTGCATCACCATTACTACCTCCACCACCTTCATTACACATCAGAGGTAGTCAACATGTCCAACAGCCAGTGGGCTCTGCCACAGAGATTTCAGAAGCCAGGCAGCCACCGGGCATCTACCCCTCCTCTGTCTGGGCTGGGGCATGGCAGCCCCAGCAATGCCCACCTGAGGCTCTCCAGGGCTCTAGCCGCAGGGGGACAAAGAAGGGGATTTTGAAAGCAATAGGTGGCCGGGCTCAGTGGCTCAGCCTGTCATCCCAGCACTTTGGGAGGCCGAGGTGAGTGGATTGCCTGAGCCCGCGGGTTCAAGACCCGCCTGGGCAGCGAGACCTCATCTCTACCATAAATCAAAAAATCAGCTGGGCGTGGCAGCGCGCGCCTGTAATTCCAGCTATTCGGAAGGCTGAGGCGGAAGGATCGCCGGAGTCCAGCAGGTCGAGGCTGCTGTGGCCGGGAGCGGCCACTGCACTCCAGTCTGGGCGACGGAGTGAGACTCCAACTCAGAAAAAAAAAAAGAAAGTAATAGGTATTTCTCAACTAGTGTGAAGTAATTTCAGAATTTTAGCAACTGACACGGCTATACTGCTGCATTCTGACGGAATACCAGCTTACCGCCACCAATGCCACCCTTATCACCATCACCACCTCCACCATCATCGCCGCCATCGCCTCCAACACCACCATCACCACCTCCAGCACATCACTACCTCCCCCATCACCACCATCGTCACTACCAACAGCACCGTCACGTCTACCATCATCACCGACAACACCACCATCCCAGCCCACATGGTCACTGCCCCATCACCACCAACCCCATCACCGGCATGACCACAAGAACACCGCCGCCTCAGCAACACCATCACTGTCTCCACCACCACCGCCGTCTTCAGCCTTCCGTCACAACCACCAACAGAACCATCAGTCCCGTCAGGTCCGCTGTCGCCATCAGTCCCGTCAGGTCCGCTGTCGCCATCATCAAAAACAAGACCACATCACTCCTGTCCTCTGAACAACACACACTTGTAAACTCTGATCTCAACGAACGGATGTCTTTCTCGTTTAGGGCGGGGTTTATCAGACGAACTCAGAACAGTGCTGCAAGGCCTCCAGGTTGCCCTCTGTCCTGTGCACAATCACCGCGGCAGTGTGGGGGCTGGCTCCCGCCAGCAGAGCTTGTCGTATTCCCCAGAGTCTTTGCTCCTGCGCCCTTACCTGGCCTTCATGCCCCCTGCGCTGGGGTAGGCCGGAGGAGCCGGGGAACCCCCCTCGCCCCACCCAGCCGGACTCGCCCCGGCTGAGCTCCTGGCGGGCCACGGACAGCCGCGCTCAGCCCAGACTTGGCAGGCGGGCGGCTGTGGACCACGCCGCCGCAGCAGGAGCCGCGCCTCACCTTC